TTGTTTTCCATTCTTGAGTCTCACGACAACCGCAACGTCTTTAATGATATCAATCTTCTCGATGTCCTCTTCTCTGACGTCAATCACTTCTTTGACATCACTTTGTGTCCAATTTTTTAATGAACTTTTGTTCGCTTTAATGCTATGACTATTGATTTGTTTGCCTGTTTTGTCACTATATGTGAACCAAATCTTGTGCTCAAAGGATTGGTCATCAATTGTGGGCCACTTTTGTTCGAACACTGATTTTGTGATATCGTATTCATGGGAACCGATGGCGTGAGAAGTGAATTGATCCCAACAGACGGCCGATACGTGCGGAACAAATGGCGAGATAATGATTAGAAGCGCTGCCAAACATCTCTCGTATTCCAGAGTATTGATGACATTTGTTTCACAATACTTTCGCATAGAATTGATCATCTCGTGGACGGCTATCGTCGATGTCTTAATATTACAAATGTGTTCAATACTAACGACCACTTTATTGGTCGTGTAAGTAATGGCATCGAGTAATTCTTGTTTTGCTTTATCGATGGTCTGTTTGTCCACTTCTTTAACTTTGATGGGATCACCATTACCGTTTATTGCAGTTTTGCCGCTTTTAATATCGCAAAACTCTTCGACTGTCAGCAGAACTCTGTGCAGGAATATAAAAGTCGGATAGAATTCTTTCTCATCGTTTTCCCAAAACCTCTCCTTATCAGTGGTTCCGTCGGCTATAAGTGTCCAACGCGTGGCATCGGATCCATACCTATGTATTAATCTCTGTGATTTAAATCCATTTCCCTTTGATTTTGACATTTTTTCGTATTCAATGACAACATTATTGTGTTGTTTAGCCTCTTTTTTTCTGACATACACGCCATCGACTTTATATGTCTTTCCCTTAACATATGATTGCATTAACAGCTTCTTAAAGGGTTCTCTAAAATGACAAAAGCCTTTGTCGTGAAGAAAGTGTGTAATAAATCGTGAATAAAGCAGATGAAGAACCGCGTGTTCTTTGCCGCCGACGTAACAAAATGTGGGCAAAACTGCCTCACAATCGAAAGGCTTGTTATCGAGCGGTTGTGAGGCATATCTCAGGTAATACCACGAAGAATCAAAAAGTGTATCCAAAGTTTCAGTTTCTCTCATGGCATCAGTGGATCCACATTCGGGACATTCAGTGTATAGCCTATTGTTAACACAAATATACAATCATTTTAATAAAAATATATACTTTTCTATTAGAAAACAACCATTCATTTGGAGCCGAATTTCTAATAGGATTTGAGATGTCATCTCCAATACTATGTGTCTCTGAATGGTTGAGTTGAGGCAATTTGATGGGCAGCTGGTCTTCGGGAACCGTTTGTATTCCACATGACTTGCAATAAATGATAGGAATAGGAGTTCCCCAATACCTCTGTCTCGATATAAGCCAATCTCTAAATGTGGATGAAGTGAAATATCCGCCGATATTTAATCGTTTGCTTTCCGACAAAACATTTTGTCTCAAATCTATGTTTTCAAAACTCTCGGTCTTAAAGAGTTGATCAATAAGAGTATCAATCTCAATAAGAGTTGATTGAGTGGATTCAGCGATGGAATCGCTGTCAACAACTCTGATATCCATCTCGTTATTAGTGAACGGATTGATTACTTTGTCGTTAATATTGTTATCCAATGCTAACCAATGAGTGGACGAAATGGCGACAAATGTTTTATCGTTTGTTAAAAGTTCGGGATATTTAGTAAACACTTGTAAAACATCATTAGATTTAGTGAATTTCAAATAAAACAAATATCCATTTGGTTTCTGCAACCAATTCCTCTGTTGCGCCAGTATTTGACTCCAATGGCCGCTATTCTCGATATCTTTTGCTTCGTATAAATCTTTGGCAAAACAATTGGTTTTAATGAACCACTGTTTGTGACATTTCTTCTCGACTTTGGCGCCACTCCTCCAACTCCTCCCCTCACTGTCCATCTGTTCGTCGGCCAAAACCGTGCGATCAATTGGATCCCAATTCACAAAACCCATGCCTTTGTAGGCGAGACCTGATTTGTATAACTGAATGAACAGCCATTGCGTCCATTTATAGTAAGACTCATCGCTTGTACTCTCTCTCCAATTGAATTGAAATCCCATTTCATTTAACTGTTGTTTCATTTGTTTGATGTTATTATCGGTCCAAACGTTGGCCTCAATTGAGTGCTGTTTCGCCTCATTTTCTGCCGGCAAACCAAACGAATCGAAACCCATTGGATGTATCGATGGATATCCCCGGAGATGACTCATCCGGAAGATTACGTCTGATGTCGTGTAAACCCTAACGTGACCTTCAATTACATACAATCAAAGAGACAATTATTAATCAATACATGGATTGTATAGAAGAGAGACCTAAATGTAAGGAACCGCTGGAATTGGGAAACATTGCCAACACATAGCGACTGGTCTTCGCCGAAGAACTATTGGCCACAACTCGGTTCCAGTAGTTGTCGACAAAAGGTTTCCATTCGTTTTCAATATTCTTCAGGAGTGACGGCAGATATGAGTGATTGAATTGCTCTGATATACGGATCCTATGATTCTTACTAAACACTGACTCAAATCGGCACAAGTTTTTACTGACAATAATTGAACACTTTTGATGTCTTTTGATTAGAAAAGACATTTTAATGCCAATTATTTTGTAGGCCTGCGTTAGCCCACAATAACTGATTACTCGATTGCAAACAATTGACTACACGTGCGGCGACTGAATAAATGCCAGAATCGGAAAACAAAGTGTTTAATACTTGCCGTCAATTTGAATGAATTTCTGATGCAATCTTCACAACTCATTTCAAAGCCAAACACATATGAAGTCATAGTATAAGTCAAATCATAGTAAGTATGACCGACACGACTACTATTGCACAGCTTTAACCCTCGTTCTGCATCGAAACTAAGGTTGGTAAATTACATGATTTTTAACCACGATTCATATATGAAGAATGTGGTTTATAGTATGTCGGCGCGTAAAATACATGGTTTGTCATACTGCCAACCCTAGTATTAATAGTTTAAGCAATCATAGTTTTGAACATACATGTATATTGCAATCATAACAACTCACACACAGCGATGCTATACGTTAACCACTATTCGTGTATAGTATTACTCGAAGAATAGAATAGCATTGTCTATAGATTTAAAATAATTACAATATACTTGTCATAGATTTAGCATTACCCATGTTAAACCTATGCCATAGACTTAGCATTACCCATGTTATTCCTATGCCATAGACTTAAGCTGTAATCCCATAGAAACCCATGTTAAAGCGTCCCATGTTAAACCTATGAGAGTCTCCCCATGTTATAGCCATAAGATTAACATGGGACATAGGGTTGTCTACGGCGACGCTTTCATCCGCGGCAACAATGGTTTGTCCACTCATTCAATCATTTCATTGTCTCAACAATTGTTTCTTTCATTTCATAGTTCTGTATATAAGTACACAAAAGAGACGCGTTTGAGAAGAATGTCGGATCCGTTGCCCAAATCATTGTCATCTTCTCATTCACCTTAACTTTTGTATCCAAATAATAGTGTTTTCAGTAAATAATTCTCACAATTAAATAATAATCAAATTTATTATACAATAACTAAAGACTAATTTTATAATTAATTAATGGTTTTATCGTTAATTCCCTTTTACTTTCCATTCTTGAGTCTCACGACAATCGCAACGTCTTTAATGATATCAATCTTCTCGATGTCCTCTTCTCTGACGTCAATCACTTCTTTGACATCACTTTGTGTCCAATTTTTCAATGAACTTCTGTTCACTTTAATGCTATGACTATTGATTTGTTTGCCTGTTTTGTCACTATATGTGAACCATATCTTGTGCTCAAAGGATTGGTCATCAATTGTGGGCCACTTTTGTTCGAACACTGATTTTGTGATATCGTATTCATGGGAACCGATGGCGTGAGAAGCGAATTGATCCCAACAGACGGCCGATACGTGCGGAACAAATGGCGAGATAATGATTAAAAGCGCGGCCAAACATCTCTCGTATTCCAGAGTATTGATGACATTTGATCGATGATACTTTCGCATAGCATTGATCATCTCGTGGACAGCTATCGTCGATCTCTTCATATTACAAATGTGTTCAACACTAACGACCACTTTATCGGTCGTGTAATTAATGGCTTCAAGTAATGCTTGTTTTGCTTTATCGGTGGTCTGTTTGTCCACTTCTTTGATCGTATGACCATTTATTACAGTTTTGCCGCTTTTAATATCGCAAAACTCTTCGACTGTCATCAGAACTCTGTGCAGGAATGCAAGAGACGGACCAAATTCTTTCTCATCGTTTTCCCAGAACCTCTCCTTATCAGTGGTTCCGTCGGCTATAAGTGTCCAACGCGTGGCATCGGTTCCATACTTATGCAGTAATTCCTGTGGATTCACTCCATTTCCCTTTGATTTTGACATTTTTTCGTATTCAATGACAACATTATTGTGTTGTTTAGCCTCTTCTTCGCTGACATACACGCCATCGACTTTATATGTCTTTCCCTTAACTATTGACTGCATTAACAGCTTTTTAAAGGGTTCTCTAAAATGACAAAAGCCTTTATCGTGAAGAAAGTGTGTAATAAATCGGGAATAAAGCAGATGAAGAACCGCGTGTTCTTTGCCGCCGACGTAACAAAATGTGGGCAAAACTGCCTCACAATCGAAAGGCTTGTTATCGAGCGGTTGTGAGGCGTATCTCAGGTAATACCACGAAGAATCAAAAAATGTATCCAAAGTTTCAGTTTCTCTCATGGCATCAGTGGATCCACATTCGGGACATTCAGTGTATAGCCTATTGTTAACACAAATATACAATCATTTTAATAAAAAAATATATACTTTTCTATTAGAAAACAACCATTCATTTGGAGCCGCATTTCTAATAGGGTTTGAGATGTCATCTCCAATACTACGTGTCTCTGAAGGGTTGAGTTTCGGCAATTTGATGGGCAGCTGGTCTTCGGGAACCGTTTGTATTCCACATTCATTGCAGTAAATGATAGGAATAGGAGTTCCCCAATACCTCTGTCGAGAAATAAGCCAATCTCTAAATGTGGATGAAGTGAAATATCCGCCGATATTTAATCGTTTGCTTTCCGACAATACATTTTGTCTCAAATCTATGTTTTCAAAACTCTCGGTCTTAACCATAAGAGTTGATTGAGTGGATTGAGGGATGGAATCGCTGTCAATCACTCTGATATCCATCTCGTTATTAGTGAACGGATTGATTACTTTATCGTTAATATTGTTATCCAATGCTAACCAATGAGTGGACGAAATGGCGACAAATGTTTTATCATTTGTTAAAAGTTCGGGATATTTAGTAAACACTTGTAAGATATCATTAGATTTAGTGAATTTCAAATAAAACAAATATCCATTTGGTTTCTTCAACCAATTCCTCTGCGACGCCAGTATTTGACTCCAATGGCCGCTATTGTCGATATCTTTTCCTTCGTATAAATCTTTGGCAAAAGAATTGGTTTTAATGAACCACTGTTTGTGGCATTTCTTCTCGACTTTGGCGCCACTCCTCCAACTCCTGCCCTCACTGTCCACCTGTTCGTCGGCCAAAACTGTGCGATCAATCGGATCCCAATTCACAAAACCCATGCCTTTGTAGGCGAGACCTGATTTGTATAACTGAATGAACAGCCATTGCGTCCACTTATAAAACGACTCATCGCTTGTACTCTCTCTCCAATTGAATTGAAATCCCATTTCATTTAACTGTTGTTTCATTTGTTTGATATTATTATCGGTCCAAACGTTGGCCTCAATTGAGTGCTGTTTCGCCGCATTTTCTGCCGGCAAACCAAACGAATCGAAACCCATTGGATGTATCGATGGATATCCCCGGAGATGACTCATCCGGAAGATCACGTCTGATGTCGTGTAAACCCTAACGTGACCTTCAATTACA